GCTAGGCAGAAACTGCTTTAAGGGGCAGCTAGGTGGCGCAGTGGATGGAGCACCAGCCCTGAAATTAAGGAGGACCCGAAGTTCAGATCCAGCCTCAGACCAAACACTGGACACTTACTAGCTGTGTGACCCTGGGCAAGTCACTTAACCCCAGTTGCCTAAAAACCAAAACAAAAAACCCCCCCAAAAAACAAAACACAGAAACTGCTTTAAACTTGAGCCAGCAGCTGAATGAAGCTCTCACAAACACCTCCCAGGCTGATGCCCTCCCTCCTTCTCCCAGACTATTGCCCTCCCTGGCTTCCTTAAAGTCCCAACTAAAATCCCACCTCCCACAGGAAGCCTTCCCCAACCCCTCTTAATTCCAGTGCCTTCCATCTGTTAAAATAATTAACCTATTTGTCCTGCACATGGCTTGCTTTGAATATATTTGTTTGTATGTTGTCTCCTCTATAGATTGTAAGCTTCTTGAGGGCAGGGACTATCTTTTGCCTCTTTTTGTGTCCCTATCACTTAGCACACTGCCTGGCACACTTAATCAATGTCTATTGAATTGAATTAGTTATCAGAGGGACCCTGGATCACTCACTCCCCTGGCCTTTCCTTCTTTAGGTCTTCAGCCTGAAATTCTTGTCAACCAAGGGGGGGTGTGTGTGTGTGTGTGTGTGTGTGTTGTGTGTGTGTGTGTTGTGTGTGTGTGTGTGTGTGTGTGTGTGTGTGTGTGTGTGTGTGTGAGGATGCAATGCTTGCCCCTCCCCTCTAGAGTTCGATTCCTTTTACAACACTTTCCCCACCCCCATTTTTTTTTAATCAGTGCCTAATGGGAAATGGAGAGGAAATCCCAGCTGCTTGCTGAGGGCTGCCCTGACTGGATGTTATGCAACCAGAGGTAAAACTGATTCTTCCTATGTGGCAAATATTTAATCTCAGAGCAGCTCCTTAGCAGAGCTCAGAATGGCCTTATCATGTTTGCCCAGGGAAAGCAAATGCATTTAATACGAGGCAGAACCTAATTAAGAAGGTAAAGATGCTGCAAAAAACCCCAAACAAATAAACAAACAAAACCAAAAAAAAGAATAACATTCTAAAACCTAACAAAAATCCTCTATCATTTATTTTTTGATTATCTGCTATTTTTAATGGGGCCACTAGGTGGTGCAGTGGATAGAGCACCAGGCCTAGAGTCAGGAAGATTCGTCTTCCTGAGTTCAAATATGGCATCAGACACTTACTAGCTGTATGACCCTGACCAAGTCACTTACCTCTGTTTGCCTCAGTTTCCTCATCTGTAACAGGAGCTGGAGAAGGAAATGGAAAACCACTGCAGTATCTCTGCCAAGAAAACCCCAAATAGAGTCACGAAGGGTCAGACATGACTGTAAAATGACTCAAGGACATTTTAAATTACCTATGTTGCTGCTCTGCTCCATTAGGAAAGCTAATTGAGAAGCAGTGGTACATGTATGCTGGATGTTATCTCTCCAGAAGGCCCCCTAAAATTCTCTTCCCCATCTTCCCAGACACCTAAAGATATCAGTTGTGCCGTCTAGAGGAATCCTGCCCTTCAGTATAGGCCATGTCATGACCTTGCTTCGAGCAGACTATGTTTTTTCTCACCTTTGCTGCTATTTCTGCTCCATTTGCTGGTTGAAAATTAAATTCAGAGAGTTCTTCTAATTGGCCTTTATTTCTTTCAACCCTGAAGGAGTTAGGAAGGAAAGTCTTCAGTGCTTTAATTTAATTCAACAAGTATCTATAAAGTGCCTACTATGTGTCAGGCATTATGGAAGGCTCTGAGGAATCAAAGACAAAAAAAAAATCAAATATTTGATGCCTGAGGGCAGTGTTCCACTGGCGTGTGTCATGGGGTGCTTGTGCTTGGACCCCAGCCTTGGATCATCTCTCTTCCCTGCCCAAAGACTCTATCTCTTGCAGTAACTCATGAGTGGGTAAACTAACTCTCCCTGTCACAAGTGCAAGCTGACCTCTGTAGAATTCCCCTTGTATGAACAGGATTATCTCGTACCAAAAGAACCATTATGTACTGACTCCCACAATTACCATATGCAATCCAGAAGTCAGGCTATAGACTTCAACTCCTGAGCATCTTGTTACAGATGTATCAGACCAAAAACACAACCCTTAGACGGCATCCCCAAAGCCTGTGCCCAAGGTACAGAAACTGTGTTACCATCTAATTAGCATACTTGGCACACCACTCACTGAACTTTTTCTATATAAGCTTCAGCATCACCTTCATTAAGTTGCAAGTTCCCTAAGGAGCTCTGTCCACTGTATTAGTGTTACAATAAACTTTTTGCCATGTTACTGGAACTGCTTGAATCCAAGAATTCTTTCCAGATGACTCTGCTCTGTATCTTGATAGTTTTGGGGTCCCTGTACCCCTAAACCACATCACTTAATGGCGCCCAAAGCGGGGCGAGTCTGAGGTCTCAAGCCCTCTCCCAAGTCAAGGTAAGCCTCCTCTCCCTTCGCCTGGTAGTTGGGTTGCCCCCTCAAACACCTAGGAAGGCTTGCTGGGGCTTTGGGTTGGTCCTGCCACATCCCCTTGGCAGAATTTCCTCTTGACAAAGGGTGTCTTGTTCTGGGAACATCTGAAGGTCATTTTCCTCCCTCTCTAGGATGCTGGTTGAGGTGAGTGGCTACAGGAGCCCATCGGTCTCCCTTTCTTTCTAAGGCTTGCAGGCAAAAAAGATGGGCCAATTGGCCTGGAAAAAGCTTGGTCTCCAAGACCTGTCTTGCCTGGCCTCAATACAATCTAGGGGACCAAGAAAAAATTGTCTGATTTGAGAAGGGGGTTTCTAATTCTCTGAGCTTTTGGACTCCCCCCACCATTATCATCCTGTCAGTATTTGTGTCTCTGTGTGGTGTGAATGTATAATCCAGGCTCTGAGTGTGGAGTGACAGACAAGAAGAAGGACATTTCGTTGACTGGAAGGAGGCAGGCTTTGGGAGCTGTGTTGGTGAAAAGTTCCAAGGCTTGTACTTTGCAAAATGTTAAGTATGTGAGATCTTACTATTAAGGTTTGGGGACGAATGGGGGACATCCAAGCCCCTCCTGTACCTGGACAGTTGCTCTGGGTGCCTTTGTGCCAGCTTCTGATGGTTTAAGTATATTGAGAGGGTGTGAGGAAGTTTGACTGCATTTTAAGAAGAAAGGAAAATTATGTAGCTTGATTTGAAAGTTAATAACTCAATCAAATTTCAGATGGCCTTGTTGGAAGCCTACCAGCCTATACACACCCCACTTCTGGTCATTCCCCCCCCCAATCCCTTTTGGCCTTGTTTGCTTAATGTCCCTGCCAGATTTGTCTCCTCTAGGCTGCAGGCCACCCACTTTCAGATGATCGCTCAATCTGTGTACCAACCCTTGTCCCAGTCAAAGACCCACCACCCACTGGACTTGTCTGGGCCAAACATTGGTTAAGGATCCAGTCCCTTGAATGGAGAGGCAGGGACAGACAGCTCTAAGTCCAGTCTCAGCAGGAAGCAGTTTCAGAAGCAGAGACCCTTCTGCCTTACCCCAACAGATTTTGTGTCCCATTTGTTTGAAAGGGGAATGATGGAGTGCTTAAGTGGGAAAGTTCAGGAGCTTTTAGGGGTCCAAAGACATGGTCTTTTCCTTTTAGGAATCCAACACGAATCCCCTAACCCCATCACCATAACCCCATGACTTGGACCATAGCCCTAGGACTGAAGATTCCGTCAAAAGTCTGCACTTAGGATCTAGAAGGCCAAGTGTGGCCTCAAGGCCACAGGTCCCCTACCCCTGCAGGCCTAGCTGAAAGAACTTTTGTAACCCTGCAGCTGAAAAGAGAATAGGAACATTCCGTTTACAGATGGTCAGAGCTCCCTGGCCAATGGCAGAAGGTGGGGGAAAAGGCTGCATGCAGCTGCTCTTCAAAGACGCGGGAAGTTTCTCACTGGGAACTGTAAGATGAATACTTAGGTCTGGTTCCAAAAAAACAAAAAAGTGGATTCGATTTCTTCAGGAATGGGCCAAACGCTTTGTATTGTATCTACTGTCTGAAACAGCATGCTCCGAGGCTCCCCTTCACCTCTCCCTAGAACTTTTCATCAATAAAGGAGGTATATGCACGGCTTCCGGTCACTAAGGTATAATTTAGCATAGGAAACTTTGACTGTATCACCCGCTGCCAGTAGATGAAACAGGGAGGTGTAAGAAACATGTGTGGGAGAGAATGAGAAAGTAGAAAGAGAGAGAAAAGGGAAGAAAAAACGGTCCATTGACTAGGAGGTGGGGTGAGAAGGAAAGCCTCGAAGCTTGCCAGATACTCCTTCAGTGATGCCAGCTTCCAAGAGCCCCTCAGGCTAAATTTGGTTAGCCTCAAGGCCCTGCGATTTCTACAGAACGTCTTACAGCTGTCTCCATGTTTAAGGTAAAGAACATGGCCTGGGAAGTCAGGAATCCTGGCTCTCAGTCCCGGCTCTATGACGCATAGAAAGTGGGAGGCATAGAAGGTTTTCTTCTAAGATGGGAAGAGCACTTGGTGGCCCAGGAAGGAATAGCTACAACTGTGTCACCGGCCCCGAGGCTTGGCTGCCTAAATTACAGCCGAAGGGTTCTCTCTATCCACCCCACTCCATTCCCAGTTCCAGTCCTGGAGCCAATTTTAGGGAAGACGAGGCATAGGATTTAGGGCTGGAAAGGACCTTAGAGATCAACTCATCCAATTTCGTTTTATAGATGAGGAAACTGAGGTCCAGAGAGCCTCAGTGATTTGTCTTTAAACCTAGGTCCTTTGATCCCAAATTCAGGGGTCTTTCCGAAATCTGGGTGTCTTCTCCGAGTAGAGTCGGAGGAAACTACTCTGTGGCTTCGTTTTACAGAGCCGAAGCAAGGAGGCGCGGAAATCCGACACCTAGGGCCAAAAGCCCTCCCCCACTCCACCCCCGGCCTAAGCCTGGTCACCGCAGGCCCCACCCCCGGCCAAGCCCCGTGGGATGGGGAGGGGTGGGCTGCTCTGCTCTCGCCCTCCCTAGAGCCCCAAGCCGGGCCCCAGCTAGGGGACAGTCTGTGCGCCTGCGCCCAGGTGAGAGCTCCCCGAGCCCGGGGCAACCTGGTGGCACGCCCCGCCCTGCCCCTGTGGCCTTGGACACCTGCGCAAGACACTTCTGGTTCGCGATTCCTTTCGGTAGCCCCCACGGGGCGGGGACCAGGAGTTAGGAAATGGAAGAGGCGCCAGAGGGTCGGGATTCCCGCACCCGGGACAGACCGAGGGACCGGGACCACCGCTGGGAGAGACAGCGGGACAGAGATCGCGGCCAGGAGAGACAGCGGGACAGAGATCGCGGCCAGGAGAGACAGCGGGACAGAGACAGACGGCGGGAACGAGACGGGGACACACCTAGACACCCAGACCGGGACCGGCGGGAGAACAGAGACTGGGACCGGCGGGGGAATAGAGACTGGGACACGCGGGGAGACCGAGATGGGGACAGGCGGAGCGACCGAGATGGGGACAGGCGGAGCGAGAGAGACCCGCGCCTGGGCAGACAGGACTGGGAGCACCCACGCTCGAGTGGACAAAGGGTTCGAGAGAAATCCCGCCAAAGAGGGACCCAGGACGTAGTTTGGGAGCAGCCCCGGAACAGAGCTCCTCCCACCTGGCCTGCCCGAGAAGAAACGCCAGATCCCTGGGCCCAGAGGAAAACCGGGTTCGGACGGTCGGCGAGGTGAGCAGGGATTGTGGTAGCAGCTGGGGAGCCCCTCGGGCTTGATGGCAGGAAGAAAGGGAACCCTGTTAGCACTCCCCTCAACCCCCATTAGGGTCCCAAGTTGTCCTCCTGGCCCTCCATAAGGTGGGGGGCAGGAAGGGTTAGACCTGAATGGGGCTGATACTCTGGAAGCCATTTGGCTCCATCCAGGAGGGCACTTGGCCCCCAGTCCAGGGTGTAACTGGTTTTAGAGGTAACTGATTCTTGCTTCTTCATCGGGAGGAGTGTTTGTTGTCTTTCGGTAGGAGGTGGCACCTGGTGTTTGAAACGTGAAGCATTATCTTCTGAGCAGAGAGGTGGGAAGGGAATTTTGGCCGTGGGGATGAGAGGCGTTGAGAATGGGGAGCAGGCCAGTTGGCCAGCACCCAGACCAGCCTTTTGCCTTTGTATTCCTAGCACGGCGTTTTGCACACGGTTGGTCTTTAATAAGTATCGGTTGGATTGATTTGAAAATTTACTACCCTCGCTCTGATTTTCCCAAAGGAGCCGGAACTGCTTTTGCTTTTTTTTCCTTCAAACCTCAGCTTTGTACACTCTACTGTGCCTGGCACATAGTAAGGCACAACTTATTAATAATGGCTTGTTGAATGATTATTCTGCTCACTTGCTGCCAATTCGGGACACCAGACCTTGGACCCAGTTTCCTTTCCATCCGAAAACATCCTACTTTACTGGTAGCCTAACCCTACCCCTAGATTCTGCCAGCACGTGGTGTTAACTGTTTGTCATTCCTTCTAGAAGAGGACCAATGACATCAGGAGGTGATGTCTTACTTTGTGTTAGTGAATTGGATTTAAGTGAGGCAGTCACCAGCCTCACTCTCCTCAAGAGTTATCACAGTCTAGTAACAAGACATGGGCCTGGATGACTGGTAGCTCTCTGATGGGGAAAAAAAAAACCAAACCCTTAAATGTGCCAAAATTGTTCCAAAATCATCCTCACCACTGCACCTGACTCCTGTTTCTTAGGCCTCAATAATATGCTAATACTTTACTATGAGTTAGTTGATGTGTTTGCCTCTTAACAGAAGGGGCAATGATTTAAACCCAAAGGAATGACTTTGTAATGGTGGAATTTTAGGTGGACCCCTTGAGGGCCATCGTTTCTGCAGGACCTTTTAGACATCACCTTTCAAGTCAGGCTTGCACAGGACAGAACACCTGACTGATACTGAATATATGTCTGACCTCCCAAGCTTCTAATACCATCAATCTCTGAGAGGGGAGAAAAGTAAAAGGATTTTGAAAATCTGGGAAAGAGCATAAACCTATCATTTCCTCAAAGATGCAACCTTTTTCTTCTTTCCCCTTCCCTCTATCCAAGGTGGGTTTACCTCCTTTCTACCTGATATTAAACTTTTATTGGCAGCCCAACTCTACCCCACACTCCCCATTCATCTCTCTTTCCAGTTCTGTTGCTTATTAAGAAGTAAGGAAGGTTGTATGTTATTATTAAACTCTGTGGATAGAGTTTTAGGCCTGGAGTCACTGAGTTCAAATCTGGCCTCAAAAAGCTATGTGACTCTGGGCAAATCACTTAATCCTGTTTGCCTCCATTTCCTCATCTGTAAAATGAGCTGGAGAAGAAAATGGCAAACCATTCCAGGATCTTTGCCAAGAAAACCCCAAATGGGGACACAGAGTCGGATACTACTGAAATGATTCAACAAAAACATTTATTAATAAGGGCTTACTATGTAAGTGCAAGGTACTGAGCCTACACAGAAAACCAAAATCAGATAGTGCTTAGCTTCAAATAATTTGATTTCTGCTAAAGGTTTTGAAAGAGTAGGGTGCTGGAGGAGAGATCAGAGTGCTCTTGTGGAAAGAGAGAGACCCAATAGGAAATGAAGGGAGATTTCTTGGAAGGGGAGGCAGGAATCCATGCTGAATCTTTTTTTTGTTTGTTTTCTTTTAGGCAATTGGGGTTAAGTTGATTTGCCCAGGGTCACACAGCTAGTAAGTGTTAAGTTTTTGGTCAGATGTTGGATTTGAACTCAGGTCCTCCTGACTTCAGGGCAGGTGATCTATCCACTGCACCACTTAGCTGCTCCTAATCCGTGCTGACTCTTGAAGGAAGTTTAGGAAACCTGGAAGGTAGCCATGAGGTCAGCCCCAGGTAGCTACAGTTTGAATAAACTGTTTATTTTGTACTATCTCAAACTTTCTCTAATCTATAGAAGAGTATGCTACTTTGCTACCCAGATATGGAAATAGTCTCAACTGCCCTCCCCCCACTCCTTACCACTTAACTTGGCCCACTTTAAGCCATTGACTCCCACCTTTAGCCACTTTGCATTGCAAATACAGTAATCTGGGGCTCGTCCAGCCTAATAAACAACCTTCCTTTGTAATTCTCTGCTGCTGGGAGACTGAGTCCTTGGGCCCTGGATAAAAGTTAAAAGTAGATGGCTGTGTTCAGGGGAGCGCTTTATGGTTTGCAGAATATCCCCAAACATCCAGCTAGTGTTTTCCAAAGAGTTATTCCCAAAGGAATGTATATGAGAGGTGCCTCGAAGTTAGTGGGCTAGCTTGGGAAAGGTGAGAGTGTGTGAGGACCCAGATACTAGAATGTTTACGGTGTCTCGAGCCGAGCAGTCGGCAGAGGTTCAGAGGATTTACCAAGATGTCTGTCTGGCCCTATCTTTAGCGGAAACCCCAGACCTCTAAACCGGAGTAAAGAGAACTAGATCTGTTTTCCTCCGGCCAGGATCTAGAAAGCAGCAGCCACTTAGAACACAGCACTCTAGGCTGCCTCAGGAGCAAGCGCTCCTGCCTCAGTTTCCTCTTCTGTGCATTGAATGTCCTGGTCTAGATGAAGTCTGAGGTCCCTTTCAGTTCTACCATTGAATGTGTATATTCATTTAAATCCAGCTTCAATATAATCCTTCTTAGATACATCTTTGTTCTTTTTGATTCCCAGATGGGCGCAGAAGACTTTTATCTGGAGCTAGCTGTCCTTTCTCATTTAAATTCCTTACCCCTCCTGGTGTCCCTGCCCCGATTTTTACACACCCGATTGGGAAGAGTTCGACTGAAAAGATTTAACTCATCTATGCTTGCCGTTTGGCACACGTGTGCCCGTCAAACATTGACAAATAATTACGTATCAAATGGGGATAATAATGTTTACCTCACTGGGTTGTGATGACGATCACATAGGATAGCATGGAAAGTGCTTTGCAAAGCCAGATAAAAGCCAGTTATTATGAACAGGCATTTATTAAGTGCTACTATGTGCTAAACACTGGTGATGGGAAGACAGAAGGTTTATATTCTAATGGGGGAGACAGAACATTTATCTACGTCAATAAGCATTTATTAAGCACCTACTATGTGCCAAGCACTGCTGAGTGCTGGGGATGCAGAGAGGCAAAATGAAGGTATGTCAGTAAACATTAAGTGCCAGGCACTGTGCTAAATGTTGGAAAAGAGGCAAAATGCAGACAAATGCACATGTACATGATATACCAAATCAATACAAGGGAGTTTTAGGGGGAGTACACTAATAATCTCAAGTCAACAAGCATTTATTAAGTGCCTACTGTGTGCTAAGCTAGCCTCTAGGTGGTTCAGTGAATGGAGGGCTAGGCCTGGAGTCAGGAAGACCTGAGTTCAAATTTGGCCTCAGATACTAGCTGTGTGACCCTGGGCAAGTCACTTAACCCTGTTTGCCTCAGTTACCTCATCTGTCAAATGAGCTGGAAAAGAAAATGGCAAACTACAAGTATTTTTTTGAATTAATTTATTTTTAACATATGTTTTTAAAACTCTGGGTTACAAATTTTCTCCCTTCCTCCTTCCCTCATTGAAAAGGCAAGCATTTCAATACAGGTTATAGATGTATAGTCATGCAAAACACTTCCATAGTAGTCCAGTTGTGAAAAACTAAGTATATTTCTCTTCATCCTATCCTACCCTCCATTTATTCTATTCTCTCTTTTGAACCTGTCCCTCCTCTGAAGTGTTTGCTTTTGATTATCCCCTCCCCCAATCTGCCCTCCCCTCTATCAACCCCCTGCTCTCTTGTCCCCTCTTCCCCTTATTTTCCTGTAGGGTAAGATAGATTGCCATACCCCATTGTGTGCTATTCCCTCCTTAAGCCAAATCCTATGAGAGTAAGATTCACTCATTCCCTCTCACCATCCCCTATTGCCCCTCCACTGCAAAAACCTTTTCTTGTGTTTCATGTGAGATAATTTATCCCATTCTACTTCTCCCTTTCTCCTTCTCCCAGTATAGTCCTCTCTCACCCCTTAATTTTATTTTCCAGATATCACCCCTTCATCAACTCACCCCGTGCCCTCTATCTATGTATACATACATATAATTTTTTTCCCTCTCACTACCCTAATACTGTCAAAGGTCTCATGAGTTATAAATATCATCTTTCCATGCAGGAATGTGAACAGTTCAACCTTAATAAGTCTCTTATGATTTCTCTTTCCTGTTTACCTCTTCCATGTTTCACTTGAGTCTTGTATTTGAAAGTCAAATTTTCTATTCAGCTCTGGTCTTTTCCTCAGGAATGCTTGAAAGTCCCCTATTTCATTGAATGACCATTTTTTACCCTGAAGGATTATCCTCAGTTTTGCTGGGTAGGTGATTCTTGGTTGTAATCCTATCTTCTTTGCCCTCTGGAATATCATATTCCATGCCCTCGAGTCCCTTAATGTAGAAGCTGCTAAGTCTTGTGTTATCCTGATTGTGTTTCCACAATACTTGAATTGTTTCTTTCTGGCTGCTTGTTATATTTTCTCCTTGACCTGGGAACTCTGGAATTTGGCTACTAAGAGTAGCCTACTCCTAGGAGTTTTCCTTTGGGGATCTCTTTCAGGAGTTGATCAGTGGATTCTTTCAATTTCCATTTTGCCTCTGCTAAATATCAGGGCAGTTTTCCTTGATAATTTCTTGAAAGATGATGTCTAGGCTCTTTTTTGATCATGGCTTTCAGATAGTCCAATAATTTTTAAGTTCTCTCTCCTGGATCTATTTTCCAGGTCAGTTGTTTTTCCAATGACATATTTCACATTCTCTTCTATTTTTTCATTCTTTTGGATTAGTGTTACAGTGCCTTTTTTCTCAAATTGTCACTAGCTTCCAATTTCTCCATTCTAGTTTTTAAGGAAGTATTTTCTTCAGTGAGCTTTTAGACTTCCTTTTCCATTTGGCCAATTTTGCTTTTTATGGGGTTCTTCTCATTGGCTTTTTGGACCTCTTTTGCCATTTGGGTTAGGCTATTTTTTAAGGTGTTATTTTCTTCAGTATTTTTTTGGGTCTCCTTTAGCATCACTCTCAGTTTTTCCTCTACTTCTCTTACTTGCTTCTCAAAATCCTTTTTGAGCTCTTCCATGGCCTGGGACCAATTCATATTTTTTTTGGAGGCTTTGGATGTCGGAGCTTTGACTTCCATTGTCTTCTTCTGGTTGTACGTTTTGATCTTCTTTGTCACCAAAGTAAGATAATATAGTCTGACTCTTTTTGCGCTGCTTGCTCATGATTCTGGCCAATTACTTGAGCTATAAACTCTTTATTAAGGTAGGAGTCTGTTTCCAGTGTGGACAATGTACTGTCCCAAGCTTCAGGGATTTTGTGCAGCTGTTTTCAAAGATATTTCTAGGGACCTGTAAATTTTCAGTTCTTCCAAGGTGCTATGATCAAGGGTGAGGTGTTTACTCCTTTCCTGTCCTGTGCTCTGGTCTGTGAGTGACTGATCACAAGCACTCTTTTCTGCCTTGGAACTGTGTGGAGAATTTCCTCTCCCCAGCCTCTGCAAGCTCCACATGCCAGCGCTCATCCTCACCCCAGGACTGCCACCCAGAACTATGACCCAGATCCAAGAACAGGCAAAGCAAGAGAATCCTGCACCAGCAGAGAGATCCCTGCAATTCTCCTCTGATCAGCCACTGGATTCCCCTTCAGTCTGTGGGCCAGAAGTTCAGGGGGCAGCTGCCACCCCGGGGCAAGCTCGGGGAATGGGGCTAGGAACCCGCTCTCCTTTCTCAGCCCCGCAGAAACAGACTTCTCTCACTGACCATCTAAGTTGTCTGGCATTCTTGGCTTGAGAGGTCTGGAAACCCCCACAGCTGCCTGCGATTCAGTCCTCTGAGGCCTGCTCCAGGTTTGCTGCAGCCTGAGCCCACACCACACTGCATTCCACCCCCTCGCCTAGTGCGATACACCTTTCCGATCAACTATCCAGGCTGTCTTGGGCTGGAAATTTGTTTCACTCTGTCTTTCTGTGGGTTCTGCTGCTTTAGAATTTGTTTAGAGCCATTTTTTATAGGTATTTGGAGGGGTTTGGGGGAGAGCTCAAGTTACTGCTTTTGCTCCGCCCCCTACTCCAGGTATTTTTTACCACAAAAACCCCAAATGGGGTCACAAAGATTTGAACTTGACTGAAAAAATTACTAAACAACAACAAACTGGTAATACTGTGTTTTACGCACTTTAAAACATTATTCTGGGCGGGGCCCCATAGGCTTTGCCAGACTGCCAGCAGACCTATAACACACAAAAAAGGTTAAGAACCCTTAGTGTAGAGAGAGCCCAGAAAGGACAGAGCTTTGGGGTCTACACCAAGTCAGTGGGATGGGTGGTGTAGAGCTATCAAATCTAGGTAGGATTCAGAGTCCTGCCAGCCCTCGGTGAGGGAGGAAGGGACTTGGTTTCATCGAGTTAGTATCTCTCAGCCATTGCTTCTAAGGGGTATTTCATTCCTAGTAGGTGGGGCAGTGCCAGGAGGATAGTTTTCCATTTGACCCCGGGCCTTTCTCTTTTTGTTAACTGCTACTTTTTCTTGATGTTGCTGCAGTGACTACCCTTTGGGGAGATCTCCGACCTTCAGCCCAAGGCCTGAATTGGAAGAGGTGGAATACTACCAATCGGAGGCTGCAGGCCTACTGGAATGCCACAAATGCAGATACTTGTGCACTGGGAGAGGTGAGATGTTGCACCAGGTTACCTCCCCCAGGATCGCCCCCGTTATTGATTCTGGTTTGGAGCTGGGGAATGGGACCACCAGGAGGTGGTAAGATGCTGTAGGATGTTGCTGGGCCAGGGAAATAGAAATTCAGCTGGTCTTCTCTTTCATTTCCTGAGAGTTTGGTAACCATACTCTGAGTGAGACAAATGTTCTAAGGAAAGAAAAGGTCATTGCAGGGTTTGGTGGGGGGCACTTTCCTCCAAAAACAATGGCCTGGCTGCCCAGGAGTTCAAAATAGTAGGTGTTTATTAAAATACCTACTACGTGCCATCCATATCACCCGACTCTTCACTTAAATTGCAGTGTGTCATAGTGAATAGAGCTTTGGAGTTCAAGTCAGGAAGCCCTGAGTTCACACCCTACTTCAGACACTTATTAGCTGGGTGACCCTGGGCACATCACAACCTCTCCAAGCCTCGGTTTCCCGTCTATAAAAGACAGATAGTAATAGCACTGTACAGTAGCCCGTGCTGCACTGGCTTCATAGGGTGTTGAGCATGAAATTAAGATCCATGTAAAGCACTCTGAAAACCTGCAGGGACGCTGCATAAATAGCAGTTTTTAGAGAACTAGGCTGCTAGCATTTGTGACTATCTGGTAAGTCTAGGTCAAGCTAACAAGGAAAGAGATAGAGTGACTGGCTAATAAGGATTTAAGGCAGGATTCCAGCAGCCCAACACCAGCCACTGTATCACCTATATCCCCTGTTCTGGCCAGAATGTGCTCAGAGCCTCATTTGAAAGAGTCAGGGAAATAGATCCATGGATTATTTGATAGGAGAGGGAGAGCTGTGATTTCACTGGTCTTCTTACCGTCTTAGTTACCAAAATGCCTTTGCACCGCAGTAAGGGCAGAAACCATGAGCTAGTTTCTGGCAGCATTTCTGACCCTGTTTACAATGTGGAAAATCTGGTTTGGCAGGTGAGCTCTGAGATCATATGACTTAGACAAGACACCGTCTGAGCTAATTTTGCCAAGCCTTGGGACTGGGTACAGGAGGTGAATGTTTGCTGCTTGAGGGGAAAGGAAGATGTCACCAGGGTGCTCATGCCTAGAAATAAAGCCTGGGATCTTTAAGGCAATGTAGCAATTATAAGATTATAAAACCTTTCACAAGTGGGATTCCATACAGTCATCCAGTTACAGGCACTCCCCCTTTGTTTTCAGAGACAAAGGCAGGGGAAAATCCAGAGAAGGTTGGTGTTGTTGACCTTTCTGATGGAAATACCCGGAAGGGAGTTGTGACAGGTTAAAAAGATTGAAGGTTTTTTTTTTCCCTTTACTCTGACTTATTTTGCCAGGGGAAATGAGAAGGGCTCAAAGTTTCTAGACTGTAAACTGAACGTTAGACTCGGCATATACCTAGCTTCTCTTTGGTTTTGAGTTTAGAGATGAGGTTTCTGTGGGGGGTGGGAGTGGGGGGGGGCCGGGCAGGGTAAAGAAAGGGGCAGGCATCATAAGAAAACGAACAAACTGAAGACTATATAGAACCTTAGTTATCCAGAGCTCAGCACAGATACACCAGAATGATAGGAATCACCACTATGAAGAAAACTCCAGTAGGCTGTCCCCAGGTTTCGAATAATGTCTGAGCAAAGGTTACCATCTGTTTCTTCATCCCAGGTTGAGAGCTGGTCTTTCTTGAATAAATTCTTTGGTGATTAAATAATCTCCCTCAGCAAATGGGGGAGGACTACAGACTTTACTAACTTCACAGTATCAGAGATCTAAGCTTTCAAGAGATCTGAGAGGTCACTGAATACGGCCCCCTCATTTTAAAATAATTTTTTTTCAATTATCAAGCACTCATTTTTTCTTCTACTTCCTCTACCTTTCTACTAGGAAAAAAAAAAAGAAAAACAAAACCTTTGTAACAAATATGTATTGTGAAGCAAAACAAATGGTCATATTGACCACGTCCAAAATCATTGTATCTCATCCTGCATATCAGTCCCTCACCCCTGTCAGGTTGTAAGTAGCATTCTTCGGTCCTCCGGAAGCATTTAATGCTCTCATTTTACAGATGAGGAAACTGAGGCTGAGAAAGATTCAGTGATTTGCCCTGGGTCACATAGATAGTAAGGATTCAAACTCAGGTTTTTCCCCCCCTCCAAGTCCAACGTTACCCACTGTATCACCTAGTACCAATTCCATAGGAGGTATTCACACCTTGGGCTATGCGATTATTCAGGCTATTTGAGCTCAAACCCCATTTTCACCTGAAGAACCCCCAAACACTATAAACATCAATGGCTCTTAAGCAGCTAGACCTGAAGAGTCAAGCCAAATCAGCAGTCATTTCTTAAGCACGCACCTACTTTGTGCCAGGCACTCTGCTAAGTACTGGAATGGAGCCAACAGGTATTTTACAGGCAAAGACTTGGAGATGAGAAGTATATTCTTGGCAGGAGGAGCAGCATGAGTTAGTCAAGAAGGCTGTGAAATGAAGGTGTACTCAGGGAACAGAGAATAGCCTGGTCCGGCCAGGTGGACAGAGGGTAAAGAACCATGAGAGAGGGAGAGATTGAAGATGCAAGAGAAAGGAGAAAGATAAGTACCTCAGAAGAGCAGAAGGAAATGGAATTGAAGGCTTGGGTGTAAGAATTAGCTTTGGCAGCGAGGAAGGGACATATCCAGCAGTATGCTGGTAGATGTTTAACAGTGGGCTCACCACTGGGGGAAAATGTTTGCATAACTCACTCCAAAGTTTAATCTGCATTATCAACATTTTTTTCCCATCACTTTTCCAAGTCTAAACAATCAACAAAACAATAAACCAGGCCCTGATATGTTGTATTTGCCAGACTGGAAATGAAAATTTAACAATCAGCTGGCTGATTTGAGCTGACACTCCTGCATATGTCTTTCTCAGGTGTAACTTTGAGGAAAAAGGAGGGAAAGTGAAAGAGATCACCTGGGAGGGTCTTGAACTTGGTAGGAGGTATTTTTGCTGTGAGTGAAAGTGATTGGGAGAGGTTCATTGAGGAGAATGAAAGGTTTTGAGCAGTTAGGATGAGGGGGGATAGGGAGTCAACGAGAGAGAGATGACTGAGCAGGAGAGGACCCAACAGATATTCCACAGGGCCCGAACATTTCCTTGAAATTTAGGATTTGAGGTGTTTGGTTTTTTTTTAAATTGGAATTTGAGGAGGGAATTCTGACGTGAACTGATCCTTGCCTTGGAATGTCACAGGGGTTGGGGGTTCCTGCTTTTGTAACTGGAGTGAGGCCAACAACTGGGCTCCCCACCATCAGTGGTATCCACTGGAAAAATATAATAGACTTGCATCTCAAGGTATTCTGGTCTCAAACCTGCATTCCTCCTCATTTTATTTCCTTCATTTATCCAGATACTCCAATGTTGTAGTGCTGTAGGTTGTGAAGTTTCTGGTGACAGGACTGAAATTACTGGTCATTCGATTCGTTGATATTAAGTAAGGTTGAGGGATTCAATCAGTAAAAGGAACTGTTATATAAAATGACCCACTGCCTTAGGATCGCCAATCTTCCCCTCCGTCCAATGTTTTTCTTGTTAGGTCAATGGCATTGGTGGAAAAAACAGAAGATTTTGTCCCCTTTGTTTCTTACTGCCCCCACCACAGGTATTATGAACTAAAGACCCCCCCCCTCCAATAGAGGCATCTGCCAATGGAATCCTTGTCTTGGAAACTTCTCCTAGAAGAGAGTGACCCATCTTTGACTCTGGGGTCTAAGGCCATTGATTCAAGCACTTTTTCCTTAGTCTTACGATATAGAGAGGGCCATTGTCCAAGGGGTTAATTGGCCTTGAAGTTTCTGAAGGTGAACAATTTACAGGGTTAAAAAACCAGACAGGAGGGGCAGCTAGGTGGCGCAGTGGATAGAGCACCGGTCCTGGACTCAGGAGGACCTGAGCTCAAATCCGGCCTCAGACACATAACACTTACTAGCTGTGTGACCCTGGGCAAGTCACTTAACCCCATTGCCTAGCCAAAAAAAAAAACAACAGATGGGAAAGGTTAGCGATTAGATATCGTCCCTGGAAATGAAGTATGTCACAGCTAAAGAATATATGATAGCCATGACCCAGTAGAAGGAACCCTAGATTCAAGTAAGCAGACATTGGTTCAAAACTTTCAAATGTGGTACTATTGGCAGTCTGGTCTTATCTGTAAAATCAGAATAATATTGGAGGCAGCAGGATGAAGTAGTGGCTTGATAATATGCTGGACTTTGAGACAGGAAAACCTGAGTTCGAATCCTATCTCAGATTCTGTCCAGGATGACCCTGGACAATTTGCAGTTTTCCCCCTCTGGATAATGGGGATAATAATAACACCTGCTTTGGGGCTGTTGGGAAGATCACATGAGAACCTATGTAAAAGCTCTTGGCCAATCTTAAACAGTCATATAATTGCACGTTATTATTACTACCTACATCTCAGAACTGTTGTGAGGGAAGTGATTTCTAAGCCTTACAGGGCTGTATACATGTGTGTGATAGCACTCTCCCGTCTGAATGGGCCAGAACCAAACACAAGGATCTAGAGAGATTCTAGAGAGGCTCAAAAGAGGAATGTAGAGACTCACTCAGTTAGCAGCACATAAAGACCTCTCCAGCAAAGTAACGAACACTTGACTCTGATAGTGGACCTAGAATAGCCTTCCTTAAATGAGATTGATGGCGAGGACTAGAGATCCAGAAAAGTAAGGTTATACTATCTATCTATACGTAACACACACACATACACACACACACACATACATACATACACACATATGTGTACATGATGCACACAAATATACATACACATTGGTCTATGTGTGTATATATACAACTGTGATTAGACAGAAAAACAAAAGTACACATTTTAACTCTGTCTGGAAACAACACAGCAAATAAAAGTATAGCATGCTTTTAACTAAAAATGTTTTTTTTTCTTATTAACAGCATTTTTTAAAAAAGCTACATTGTTTTTTAAATTCACATTAAGATTCTTCTCCAGGCTTGGGCAGATCTTGTTTGTCAAACTGTGGCTAAGCTGGTCAGGCAGCAGTGGAGTATACATTCTCACTGGAGACATAACATGTAGAAATAGATTGACTTTTTCTTCCTTCTCATCTGAAAACGCCAGCACCTTCCATTTTCCTACACAGATGTGTGGTTTTCATCTCACTGGACGAACTTCTCATAGGCCCCAAGTCTTTCTGGTCCTTTGGAAAGACCTTTCTTTTAACCAACTTCTTAAAAATGCATCACATCTTACCGTTTGTGGACTCGATGCCTTGCATCTTCACCATCATCTGCTCCTGAGGAACCTTTGGCTGCCTGGGCTGTTGTGGGGGAGGTGGATGTGAAGGCAGTGGTGTGAGCTGCATGCAGTGGGGGAGGTGATCTCCATGTTGGAAGAAAAGCCTCATCCAGAACATAACCCACCCTTCCGCTTCTTGATCTTTGCAGCCTGCTGCCAGCTGATGAAGGTCCTGCTGAACTTGCTGATTCTGGCCTCTAGCTCTGTGTCTTACAACTCGACGGGGGGCTACACGGGCATCACCAGCCTTGGGGGCATTTACTACTACCAGTATGGAGGAGCCTTCAGTGGTTTTGACGGTCCCGATGGGGAGAAAGCCCAACAGTTGGACATCCAGTTCTACCATCTCAAGCTGCCCACGGTGACAGCAGCGATGGCCTATGGAGGGGGCCTCATGGCCTTCTCCTGCCTCCTTATTCTCCTGGGTGTCCTTCGGGTCCCGTGGCATTGCCCACTGTGGTTAGTGATTGAAGCCATTTTGGATGTGCTCATTGCTGGCGGCTACATCCCTGCCTTGTATTTCTATTTCCACTACCTCTCAGCTGCCTATAACTCTCCTGTGTGTAAAGAGAGGGAGACCTTGTACCAGAGCAAAGGGTACAGTGGTTTTACTTGTAGCTTCCATGGTGGAGACATAGCGGCTGGACTTTTTGCTGCTATCGGCATCATTGTCTTTGCTGTGGGCGCTGTTCTAGCCTTCAGGGCATACAGAAGAATCAGAAAGCCTGAAGAGAAGCTGACAGAAGCATATGAATTATAGTCTTTCATAGGCGTCTGCTATATCTCAGAAACTTCTTCACCTTATTTTGGAACAAGCTATCTATGAATGGGTGGAAATGCATGGTGAGAGACTGGTGCACAGAGGAGAATGCAACAAACTTTGAATTCTCTTTCCTCAGGAAATTTTTCTTAGAAATCATTGTAAACCAAGAGCTGCAGAGAGGTCTGGGCTACAATAATATGCAATACTTAGAGAGTTTCTCTGAACTTAGCTAACTTTGTGCTCAGTAGAAGCCAGATACATCGGGACAGTTGTACCTAATTTCTTACGCATATAGCCCATAAGCAGAGGAACAAGGAATTCCCCATTCCTCTCCCTACCCCCTGCCATAACTCTTCAGTATCTCCTTAATTAGTGAAACAGATTACATGTAGCAGAATAATATAAGCTGGAGATTGGGAGTAGAATATGAAGAGAGTCACCTTGGACTAAAAACAAATTTAAATGCAAACAAATTAATCCCAAGAGCCATGCATTCTTAAGAGTTCCCAGCTAATGTTACTGAGCCAACATTGCCTTTCAGTTAGGAAGACTAAACTAACCATTGTATCTCCTATGAGTATGCCATTATGTGAGAAGCTTAAGGTGATGGCAGAAATTCAGAAACAATTCAGTATAGCTTCACTGCAAGAAAAGTCCAAACCAAAGCATCCTTTGATCCAAAGTGATTCTGTGACCTCATTAAAAATCCAGATTTGCACAAAACATAAATTGGGGTCAGGGTGGCAAACTCTTCACTTTACAGACTTGGTAGAATTTCTTCAATAGTACACTGCCAAGATATCTGTTAAAAATATAACTGGATTAACGTGGTATGTAAAAGGATGGGCCACTAGGTGGCACAGAGGATACAGTGCCAGGCCTGGAGTCAAGAAGACTCATCATCCTAAGTTCAAATCTAGCCTCAGATACTTATTAGCCACGTGACCCTAGGCAAGTCACTGAATCCTGTTTGCCTCAGTTTCCTCATCTGTAAAATGAGTTGGAGAAGGAAATGGCAAACTTCTCCACTATCTTTGCCAAGAAAACCCCAAATGGGGTCATGAAGAATCAGACACAGCTGAAAAACAACCAAACTAGTACGAATGTCAAAGGAAGGCACCCCATTAAGTGAAGAGCTAACGAAGAAGCATCAAGGAGAAGACAAGCTATTAATGCAACAAGAGAATCCCAACTCATCTGTTTATTCTAGGCCCTACACTTTCCAAAGCTACTAAAGCAAGTCCTTCTCTTTCCATCAGTCAACCAGTGGTATGTACAGGTTGGTTCATCTCACCTTGAAAGTTAGGCAGGGTGCGGTTTGACAGGATGGCTAACTGGGAATGGTAGGCGTGGTTCCAAGAACCCAGTTCTCCGTAAGGTAGATTTCAGGTATCAAATGAGGCTATATTAACCTATAATGTCACTGAAGTCCACAGGAGAGTTAGTGTTGGGGAATCATTCCATTTTGGGGTCAACTTGAAAGTTGGGTTGAGTACTACTATATTAAGGCATTTATAGGTGAAATCAGTGGCTCAGAAAGAAAGGCTTAGGTCGTTTTTGTTCTGCAGCAGTACACCCTTCCCTCTGCTTATCCCATTTAGCGAGACAAGGAAAAGGGAGACAAAGGACAATGTAGAAGGAAGACTCTTAGGAGAGGAGATTCAGAGCCGTAGGGACATCAGTGGCCATCCAGGTTTCACAAATATAAAAGCTGAGACCTAGGGAAGTTCAATGACTTTCTTGTTGAGGTCATCCAATTAATGGATCAGAGATGGGACCTGAACTCAATTCTTCCAGACAAGGTAGCATGTTTATTGCTCCAAAATTGCTACCATATGCGGTCCAGGACAGTGAATTTGTGTGGCAGTTATCAGGGTTAGGAAAATTGTGTGTGTGAATGCCAGTGGATTTTAGATGACCACATTCTATGATGTCTTTCTGGAAAATAGTTCTCAGTCATTCATTTTTGGTTCTGGATTTGAATCCACACCTCTGGAGGTACCACAGAGAGGAATCCACAGATCCATATTTGAACCCCAGAATTGTCATTTTTAAATTTCTGTTCTGTTACCAAATACGATTCAGTAAAATAAGCAAATCTCTTCTGTACACTGACTACACCACACACATATGTGTTACTGGTGTATAAGTATGTGTAGATGCTATTGATTAGTAGAATATAAATTCCTTTAAAAGTGTTACTGAATATATAATAGCTTTCCGGGATCTTTTTTTTTTCATTCAGTGGTTATGAAGGTGGTGGTTATTTATACGCAGGAAGAGAACTGGGCTTGAGTCTGCGGATGGGTTTCAATTCTAGGTTTGCCACCTGTTTACTACCTGTGTGATGTCAAACATGTCACTTAAAGTCTCTGGGTCAGTTTTATCATCTGTCAGATGAAAAGATTAGACTCCCGTAAGTGCTCCTTACAGTTCTGTATGGTCCCTATAATAACAATACACCACAAAGCAGAGTCTGTGTTTTTACAATAAAAAGAAGTCTTCGGGCTCAAAAATTTGTGAAAAGGTTGCCGAGGCAGGAGATGGGGTGTCTTTTGTGAGGAACAGTAAGTAAGGAGCCCTGCATGGATCATAGGGTATAAGGCGACTAGAGAGAGAGAGCTACTGTATGAACAGGTAAGACACACTGGTAGGGTTTTATGGTATAAGAACCCAAGATAATTTTCAGTGTCTGGGATAAAAATGGGTCTAAGGGTCAGTCTTTCCCCCCTCCCCCAAACCAAGCTCTGGGGGACGGAAAGATGGATGGGTGTACATTGAGCTGGAGGCCAAGCCTACCCCTCAATAAATACCAGGTATCTCCGAATGCTGATTGCACTCTGCATCCCAGACAGATGAATCCGTTTCAGGTTTTCCTTTGCACATTTCACGGCTGGATACTAACCCTTCCACTGCCTGGAAGTTTTGTTTTTGTTTGTTTTTAGGCAATTGGGGTTAAGTGACTTGCCCAGGGTGACACAGCTGGTAAGCGTCAAGTGTTTGGTCTGAGGCCGGATTTGAACTCAGGTCCTCCTGACTTCACAGCCAGTGCTCGATCCACTGTGCCACCTAGCTGCCCCTAGAGGTCCTTCTTGATTCCTGTGGTCCTCCACCTTTGAAATTATTTGCAAATCATTTCTGTAGAGACACCTAGATGTAGTAGTGGATAAGAGTACAGGACTTGGGGGTCAGAAAGATCTGAGTTTGAAACCTACCTCAAATGCTTAGGTAGCTGTATGATCCATGGCAATGTATTTAACCTCTCAGCCTGTTTCCTCATCTGTAAAATGGGGATAATCATAGCACCTACTTCTCAAGGTTGCTGGGAGGACGGATGAGATGTAAAATGCTCTGCAGACTTGAAAGCTCTACATAAATACCATTATTATTGTTGGCTCCCCCCCATTAGAACAAGGAATTCTTGGGAATAAGGGTTGTCCTTTGTATCTTCAGCATCTAGGATAGTGGTGAGCACATAGTAGGTGCTTTGTAAATGCTTGTTGAAGAGAAAAATCTTTCCCTGCAGACCTCTTCAGAAGTCAAGGGCAGCCTCTTAAAGCTCCCCCAAGGCATTTTTCATTACATTAATGACACCAGCTCCTGTTGCTTAACAGTGGTTGTGAGAAACATGACCGCCAGCAGCCAAGGGTACCAGGAGGTGAGCTAGGCCTCCCTTGCCCCTGCCCCCAACTCGAATACTCCCGTTATCCCCTAGAATAAAGCTTTTCCTTGGGGACTGACTGGTTTGTTAAGGACTTCATTTTTCTCCTCTAGGTGTGGTACAGATAGTGGAAGTGATATTGAACGGAATGGTCCTCATGTGCATTGTGGCCTCCCACTTTGTCCTGGCTGGTTTCAGCGCCAGCCTTGGAAGCGGTGGCTTCGGGAACAGCTACTACTCTCCCTTTGAAGGGACGGAGCTGGAGCAGGTTCGACAGCTGGACCAGCAGTATACGATCCTGAGGGCACCGCTTGTGTACGGGGGCTTGGCCATCTCCCTAGGCCTCGGGGTCCTCACCATGGGAGTTTTAGTCCGAGGAGCCAAGAATCTGGAGAAGCTGCCTAGGAAGTGGCTGGTTGTGGAAGCCGTCTTTAGCCTCTTGGCAGCGGTGGGCTATTGCACAGGCACCGGCATCTACCTTCACGCGGCTCTGCGCATCAACGCCACCGATACCTGCAAACGGCGGGAGAGGCTGTACGCTCGCAATGGTCTCACCTGGATGAACTGTCAGCTAGCAGGCACTGACGGGGCGGCGGCCGCCTTTGCTTGTCTTCTGGTGATCATGTATGGAGCTAGTGCTGTGCTGGCCATCCAGAGTTACAGGAAGCAGCAGCAGCAGCATTCTGAGGACGGCGGTCTACCAGAATACTGGGGGTCAGGAACTCTGTGAGAATCTGCTCTCACTCTGCACCCCTCCCCACAATTCAAGCCCCCAGGTCTCACCTGCCTTTATAATTTCATCCAAATATTACTTTCCATTTTAAATCACACAGAGTTGCAATTTTTGTATGTATAAATGTTCCATTTTAAGGTACCGTTTGGAAAGGGTGCTCAATAAATACTGATGGATTGATTGACAGATGAATAATTGCTGGGGAAAGATTAGAAACTCCTAGAGTACATATCAGAAGGCTGGCCATGGCATAGTTACTCTTATAAATACAGTAGGGTGGGCAATGCTAGTCTTCCACTCTAATGCTGACCAACCCAGTCAAGCCCTAGAAGACCAACTTATCTCAGCAAGAGCTGAGTCCTGTGCTACATAAAGACAACTGTAAATCCTTAATCCAACTATTTAAGATACTAAAGGACCTATATCTGTTCTCAGAAGATAGACCATTAAGTCAGTTGTCTGATTTGTTCCCCAGAGGGCAATTCCATTCTGATTCATAGCCTGGCTCACTGTACCGTAAGTGGTGCAGTGAATAGAGTTCTGAGCCTGGAGTTAGGAAAACTCATCTTCCCAAGTTCAAATCTGGCCTCATTTAGTTGTGGACTCTGGGAAAGTCACTTAACCCTATTTGCCTTAGTTTCCTCATCTGTAAAATGATCTGGAGTAGGTAGTGGCAAACCACTCTACTATCCTGGACAACAAAACTCCAAATAGGGTCACAAAGAGTCAGACGTGACTGAACAACATTCCAACCCTTCCATTTCATAGGTTAGGCAGCAAAGCCCTAGAGAAATAAATTGACTTCAAGTTAGTTACACTGGCTGTAAGTGAGCAGAAGCAGGATTTTGGTCCATGTTCCCTGACTCCAAATCCCATGCTCTTTCCACTTTGCCGTGCTTCCTTCAGCATGAATTAGGTTTTCTACATTAGGGGAAAAGGGCTATTACACATAACATGTATAAAGAGCTCCCACCTTTTTATTTTTCTTAAGTGGGGAACTTGAAATAGAATAAGCTTTCCTAAAACAGGTAAAAGTTCTCTTGGAAATATTCCACATTCCTAACTAAACTTTCCTGATGAAAAATCTCTCTTCATCCACTGAAGGATTAATATTATCACCTCACATTAATGACTATTTCCCTTCAATGAGATCACTAACACTCAATCTTGAAATGAAGCCTTCATTCACAGAATCACGGTCAATAAGCATTTATTATTAAGCACCTACTTTTGGCCAGGTACTTTGCTAAGCACCAGGGATTCAAGAAAAGCACCTTGAGCTCACCATCTAATGGTGACAAGAAGCAAACATGGGTACAAACTATGTAAACAACAGAAAATAATAGGGAGGGCACCAGAATTTAAAGATTGGGAAAATTTTCCTATAAAAGTGGGGTTTTTGCTAGGACTTGAAGGAAGCCAAGACATCTCCTGGCTGATGAGGAGGGAGAACATTGCAGGCGTGGGGGACAACTAGAGAAAATGGCCAGAGCTGAGCGATGGATTTTGTGGCCAGCCAGGGCCAGTGCCTTTAAAAAGCAGGGTGGAAGACTGGAAAGGTAGGGGGAAGGGAGTAGGTTATGAAGGACTTTACTCAGAGATGGTCAGATCTTTCCTTTAGGAAAATCACTAGCGGCTAAATGAAGGGTGATCTGGAGTGGAGAGACTTGAGGCAGGCCGACCAGTAGCAGGCAGTAGTCCATTAGAAAGGTGACAAGGACTTACCCAGATGAGGGGGCAGCATCAGGAAAGGAGGTGTATTCAAGAGTTGCTGTAGAGGTAAAATTGACAGGCCTTGGCATCACTTTGGATGTGGGTGATGACAGATAATGAGTCTAGGGTGACCCCCAGTCTTGGGGACTGGGAGGATGGTAGTAAGTTTGGAAAGGGGGAGAGTTTAGGGGAAAGACAGGTTGTTTTAAGTATTATGAATTCAAGATGGCTAGAAGGCAGCTGGAGATTCAAAACTGGAGGTCAGCAGTGAATTTTGAGTTAGAAGGTATTTCAGAAGCCATTGATAGTCTAACTCATGCCTGAACAAGAATCATCCTATGACTTGGAAGACATGGTCATACGGCCTTCCTTGATAATGCGGAGTGAAAGGAGACTTCCCGCTTTCTGTAGATGCCTCTTCCACCTAGAGATTGTTCTCTGTTACGGTGGGTTTTGGTTGGTTTTGGGGGGTCATTTATCAGCTTCTTTCTGCCCCTACATCCCTTCTCAGTTTGTTCAGGCTAACCGTCCCCGGTTTCCTTCAAGTTGATTCTCAGATGATATGACCTTGGGATTCTTCAACATCCTGAACACTTCTTCAGGATAACTCATGTCTATCAATGTCCTTAAAACGTGGTGCCCAGGACTGAACACTCCATGGGGTCTGACGAGGCCAGAGGACGTCATGCCTCTTGATACCAGCTTGGAGTTGCTTCTTCGGCCGCCATGCCACAGGTGACTCACGTTGAGTTTGCAGTCCACTAAAAATGGGTAAATCTTTTTTCAGAGAAGCTGATATCTACATACCTCCCCTAACTGCACACTTGAGTTGAATCTTTGATCTCAAGATTAAGCCTTTCTGTATTTATTCCTATGAAATTTCTGATTGTATAAAATCTGAGACGTACGTGAATTGATGAAAAGTGAAGTGAGCAGAATTAGGAACAATGTACACAGTAACAGCAAATTGTAATGAAAAATCAACTGTGAAAGAATGGGCTACTCTAATCAATAAAATGATCCATGAAAAGCCAAAGTACTCAGAATAGAAAATGCTATCCATCTCAAAGGAGACAACTGATGAACTCTGAGTGAAGATTGAGGCATATTTCATCCCCTTTTTCTTTTTTCTTGGCAACATAGCTAACATGGAAATACGCTTTGCATGTCTATACACATACATACATATGTATATGGTATGTTGCTCAATGGGTAGAGAAGGGGCTGGCCAGGAAAAATCTTGTAACTAAAATTTTTCAAGTGAATGTTTAAAAAGAGATATTATTAGCTTAGAAAGTCTACTGTATCAGGCAGGTGCCACATTCCCAACCACCATGATTCACCTTGGCCATCACCTTGCCATGCCTCCTGCTGACACTCTTACCTGGACCTCAAGACACTATGCCCAGTTTTAGAATTCTAACTATACTGTAGTCTAAGTCCTCTCTCCATCTTGTCTACAATAATATCCTAAGACTTCATTAAATACTTTACAAAAAGCTAAGTAAATTATAACCATAGCTTTTTCCCTGGTCTACCATTCTAGTTAACTTATATCAGAAAGGTATGGAGATTAGCCTGGCACAAGCTCCTCTTGGAGATGCAGTTATGCTAACTAGCTCTTTGTCATCACCTTTAGTAATACATTCAAGAACTTTGCCAGGTTTCCATACTCTTACCTTTTTTTTTTGTTTTTTTGGGGGAAGTATCACGACACTTGTCCTTTTCCTGTCCTACAGCATTTGACTCGTTTTCCATAATATTTTCTTTTTTAAAGTTTTATTGATCCCTTTAGTTTTTATGTCACAGACAACATGGATGTGCTCCCTTCCCACAGTGAGCTTTCCTTGGTAACAAAGAGAAACAATTAAGTATAACCAAACATAGCCACCATATCTGATGTAGTTCATATTCCACGTCCACAATCTGCTACCTCTGGGGGGGAAGAAAGAGACGATTTTTTTTTTCCATTTCTTCTCCACACCCAAGCCTGGTCATTTAATTGGTGTTTGGCTGCTTCCTTTTGCTATTCTTTTTACTTAAACTGCCGTGGTCAGTGTCTATGCCTCCTTGCCTTTCTAGCTTCCCTCATCTTTTTGATTTTGTTTAGGAATGTGGCGAGGTCAGAGACTTCTGATTTCATCTCTAGAGGGGGTTCTCAGTGAGTAAATGCCCTCTACCAAGCCCCCATTTTGCAACTCAGAGAGTTGCCCGAGGCTCGTTAGAGGTTAAGTGATTTGCCCAGCACCCCATAGGCAGGAAGTGTCTGAGGGAGAACTTAAAACTCAAGTCTTCTTGACTCTGAGGATCATCACTCTATCCCCAATGCCTCTGTTAACTTAAACCCATAATTTCTTATTGCACAACAACATTCTGTTAGAACTCCTTCTTTAACTGACAGGCACTCACTATTTCCAATTCTTTGCTACCACAAAAAGTGCTGTGAATATTTTGGAATGTATGCGGCCTTTCGTTTCACTCCGATCGCCCTCGGGTGTACGCCCAGCAACTAGAACTTCCTGAGGAATGACCGAGAACCTGATGATACACAGATATGATGGATTACTACTGTGCTGCAAAGAATGATGAAGTAAGGTGTTTAAGAGGAACTTAGGAAGACTTGTATGAAATGATACAAAGTGAAGTGAGAAGAACCAGGAGAAAAAAATTATACAAATGACAACAATATTATAAGGGCAAACAACTCTGAGAGAATTAGGAACTTTTAGCAGTGAGGACCAACCACAGTTCCAGAGGAAACATGCTACCAACCTCCTGACGGAGAGGCGAAGGACTGAAGAGTTCAGAATGAGACATCTGGATGTGGCCAAGGCAGAAATCTGTCTTGCTAACTACTACATATTCGTAGTTAAGAGTTTTGTTTTTCTTTCTTTCTCATTTCAGGGAGGGAGTAGGAAGAAAAGACAGGCTTTTACTGACTAAAAAAAGAAATTTAATTTTTACTAAGGATATTGACGAGAAGACTTGAGTATTTGGTCTTCTAATGCGCTTAAGAAAATGACTATGTCCTTGAGATGTGCAGTATATACAAAGTACAGTATTAATGAAAGTAGAGAGCTTTCTGCCTTATCATGTGAAAAGCTAGCTAAAAATATTCCTGTCTGTCTCAACTTATATGTAAATCTTAATAAGATTTATGTGAGGTATGTGTTTTCCCCCACCCTAAGTGTCTTGTTCATCTCCCTAAAGCAGGAAACAAGGGAAAATCTTGAGGATGCTTTCAATTCCAAATCAATCTCTCTATATAATGAAGCGAAAGGACATCACGTACAAATATTTTTAAAATAATACGCATTCCACTTTAAAACAAAAGCACCAAAATATATTATATTTATTTGTTTATTATTATCATCATCATCATCATCATTATTTTTACAAACAATAGATTTGCTGAAACATGCTCTGGCTCATGTTATTGAATTAAAAAATTTAACACATTTCAAAAATATCAAAAATACACTATAATGAGTCTTAAGACTATAACAGGACAATGATTGCACAAAACTGTAAGATGTAGACTCACTGCCTGGACGACATCCACTGGCCAAAGTGAGGGAAATCCTACAAAATCCAGGAGAAGGGCATAGAGTCTAGAGCACAAGGAACTTATGTGTGGTTGAATGATCACAGCAAGACTTACTATACACAGGCTCTTTTCCTAAGCCAGGAAGTATTTTCTCAATTATAGGACAGTCATGAACTAAAAATAAAATGTCACCTGTGTGTTTTAGGGAATCTGAATGGCTTCACCCAGAATGAGGTGAAGTATGAGACAAGTCACACACTGTCTGGCCTGCTTCAGGCATCCCTGAATGGCTTGGAGGCTGCTGAATCACCATTACATGTATTTGTCACTTGCTTCCTCGTGGAGGTTTTTCACGGGATAATTAGTCAACAGAAAAAGATGGTAAGCCAGTGGCTTGATTTTGTTGGAAGTTCTACATAAAAATAAGATAATCATTCAACACTCAGTAGATTGGCTAATACTAACTAGACCCATCTCCTGGAAAACAGCAGCAACTGCAAACAAACTATTATCATCATACCCAATAATAATCAAGCTGCTCACATCTGCTCTTTTATACACAGGGAACACATCATCTTATTGCACACGTATGCTTGACAGTAGTAAAGTAAACCCTCATTTGTCTGGAGTGGTGAGTCAGCGACCAGAATAGCACTGTGGCTTGATGTATTAATCTTCAAAGTTTAAAATATAATGTACTTCCCAAATCCATTTTGATTAAATACCATGACTCCTAAGATTCGTACATTTTCAACTCACAGGGGTCACACGCTGCTGCTCAGAATGAGTCACTTTATGCTTTCAGAACCTCTGTTAATCTGGTCTGTTACACAGGGATGGCAAGCACATAGTTCACAAAGAACACAGAACCACGAGAAGGACATTGTACAAGGGGAATTGAGGGGCACATTTAGTCCCTCGAGCTTAAGAGAATAGACAGTGCTCAGGGTATGGGGCTAGATATCATGAACCACCGAGAACCAGATCAGATAATGCAATTTCCTAAACATCATCTTTTAGGGCAACAGGTCTACTCTTCTCTTCTGGTAGGGGGGAAGCTGCTTGTTTTTCAGAAAGCAGTCTTTTACTTATCTCCTCCAGAGTGGTTGGATAAGAGACTCATTTTTCCCTATACCCCCAAATTTAGGTTCGGTTTTTTTAATCCAATCTGAAATTTGCCAATAATAATAATAATAATAATGATAATGGCAATAATTTTAGCTTCAGTATAGGAACATTTGTAGCTCTCAAATTCTGAGCTTACAAGTCAAAAGCAAAGGCCCGATATACATCAGGTTATACAAAACGAGTGGTTTTTGAAACAAGCAAGCTGGGGAACGAAATGAAATACATTTTTACAAGCTAAGGACAATTCTGAGAGAGGTGGTAATTTTCACACTGCATCTTTACAAATCAGCCTTCTTTATTAAGAGGATGTTACTTCTACAACTGTTCTGCAGCTCTGGAAGGACAAGGCTCAGCATTATCATTACCATCTTAGCCTCTTTCCTATTGGCTTTCTCATTTCCCCCAAAGAGACAATGCTACTGCCACAAAATAGTTCACCCCTGTTTTAGTGAACCTCAAACCCTGAATGTGCCCCTGTAGTCCCTTCCTAAGGAGGAATTACTCAGATCAAAGATTTGAAACTGTATGTTCTTCAGTAGCAGAGCAACAGTTTAACAGATAAATCAAAATTTTCCTAACGGTACAAAAACTCAAATTGGGACTCCTGAAAAGATTTACATCAGATGGTCATTAAGCAGTTGGCAGGATCCCCCTTTAAGAGCAAACATGAGTGCCACACATTCGTGTATAGGTGATGCATCTCAGACACCAATGCCATGGACTCATCAGTGATCTGGTCAACTGGTTTACTATTATTGCTTCAAACAACAAGCCCCCCAACAAAGTATAAATTAAGATGCTTTTAAAAATTATTTGGCAAACCAATATTCAGTCTTCATGTTCCTACTAATAAAGCAAATACCATATGGTTCCTCCCTGTTTTCTTCTTGGACTGTGCAAACACTCAACAGATCTAAATCACACCCCCAAATTGATTAGCTGAGGCAGTGTCCGAGTTTTGGAAGAAAAATTAGCAATTAGCTCTCCTGTCTACATAAGCCTTCAAATTATAAAGGCAACTGAACAAAATACACAAGGAAATGTATTCTGACAGGGCCGTGTGGCATGAGAAGTGATGTGTAAAAAGCACAGAAACAGGTTTGTTCACACGGAAATGTTTCTAATCTGATAAGAATCACATAGCAGTAAATGAGCCTAACACCCACTGAGAGCATACGTGGCATAAGACGACTGATTTTTAAAGGGTAACATAGTCAGTCACTGCAACATTAAGATTTGAAGGCCTATAAAGAACAGATTTTAGTGTTAACATCTGTTCCTCTGGCTTTCAGGAAAAATGATCTTCCTCCACTAGAGAGAGAGAAGAATTTCTACTGTGTGAGGTTCATCCATCTGTTCTCAATTTCTCCTGAAACATACAAAAGCTCAAGGTCACCTGGATAGGAGTCAGCCCCTGGTCCTACCTAGCAGGAGATGAAAACTGCCGACTCCTGACCACATTTCATGGAATTATGCTAGTCTCCAGATCGCTCCCTTCTCATATGCAGGGAAATTCCCAGCTCCTTCTCCTTCCTGTCAGGAGATCTGCACTGGATCCCCTCATCATGACCAGGAGACTCTGCAGCTTTTCTCTTCATTCTGATTTTAACCTTTTAAAAATTCACATCCCTATTAAGAGAAATCTGAATCCTCCCCCATCTTTGTTCCCTCTAATCCTTCTTGGGACCCCTGTGAGAGGCACCAACACCTTGCTGTCCCCAACCGGAGGGACCAAGGTGTGGACCGTCTCTAAGACTGGCTCTGAGTGCAGATTCAAAAACGAATGTCAGTCATTGAAAAGTGCTTCCTTTACAATACATACATAAATCAAAATTGTCTGATTGGCTCTGCATTTCCAGTGAGCTTCATTTCCATAGGCTGTATTCTCTTAGAGAAGAATAAGAAAGCCACATGCCTATAGCACTCTGACACTTGACAAGGTGACTGTGCAGCCAGAGATCCTTCAGCAGTGATTGTGAAGAGAATCAAGTCTTCAGTCACTCTTCCACAGAAACAAGTCCCCTTCCTGCCTGGGTAGGCAGTTCTCAAAATTAACCTAGGACAGAAGGAGTTAATGGCAGGTGGCAGGACTGAGGCAGACATTCTCCTCCTCCCCAGGGAATTCCAATGACAATTAAGTGTTAAATCCAACACTGATGGTAGTTACTGGTTCATTCTAAGTAAACCTGGCCCCTCTCATCTTTCATCTCCGAGTGGCTCCATTCTGTTCATCCACACGGTGATGGCCAACACAGAAGCCAAACTTGTTGGGAAGGACCATGGGCCACAAGAATCCATCACCTTCTCAGATCCTGGAGCTCCTTCCGGAGGGTTACAGAGCAGTGTCAAATTCTTCTGAATGGTCCACCCGATCCTCCTCCCAGGGCTCTGTGTCAGCCCCACCCCGGGCATCCTGGGGGTGTTTAAGTTGCTCCTTTACTTCCTCTTCCAGGTCATGAGGTACAATAAGCTGATCCTCTGGCTCCAGCTGAGCTGGGGCACAAAAGTAGCCCGTCTTTTTCTTGGGTGCTTCTGTGGCCACCTCAATGAGGTTTAAACTATCCTCTAGGGGCACCACAGAGCCATTGGAGAGTTTTTTCCCATACAGGCAAGAAGTGGATGGAGATTTCTGTAACTCCCTGCTTACTGGAAGGAGCACTGCACAGCTCACACTGTTTTGTCTCTGGAACCTAAAGAACAATCCTCCAGAGTCTTCCTCAGGACCTAGAGTCAGAGAAGTCTCTTCAAGGGCAGGAGGAGATGCCTCAAGACCCTTTCCTCTACAGCAGTGGATATCTACTTCCACCTCTACCTTGCTGCCATTCGTTATGACCCCTTCAACTGGCTGGTCATCATCACTGTCCAGGCCATTGTCAGACTGGTTACTTGAGAAAGTGGCACAAGACGGTTGGCGCTGAAATATCCCCAAGGTAGGCATGGGATGGAGGCTGCAGCGTCTTTCTGGCCTTGGCATCAGGCTGGCATCCAGGCCAGTGGCATTGTGCTCGTCAGAAGCTGTGGAGCCCACTTCACTGCTCACTTCAGAGGTGGACATTTCACTACTGAACTCAGAGGCAATGCCACTACTGGAGGAAGGGGTGGTTGGTTTTGGAGCATCTTTGACGGTGGTAGTTGAGGCAAATCCCCCAGGACCTGGGAGGCTGAGGCCATTCACCTCACAAGTACAACCATCTTGCCCAACATTCAAACAGATCACCATTGCCCCAACGTTGTCCTGACAACCATAGCTCTGCGCTAATGTGCATAACTTCTTGGCAGCTGCTAATGGATCATGGACATGCCGGACTGCAGTGACGGCTTCCAGGTAAGACAAGTGTTCCCACAGTGCTTTGTTTCCCAAGATGAGCAGCTCGTCCTGTACTGTGAGCGGAAGGGAATATATATGGGGTTTCGGAAGGACCCAAGGGTAGAGGTATGTACAGCCCAACATCCGGGTACAGCAGGTTACTCCATTCACTTTGTTGTCCTAAAGATAAACACAATTAGTTTAAACAATAAGCAATAAACCTTAAGGGTCCTGACATTTATCTATGTCCTACTGCTTAAGAACATGTCATAGAGGAAAACAGATTTATCATTAAGTACTTTCCAAAGACTTGAAAGTTCTTACCAGTGCCAGAGCTAAACATATAAGATTATGGCCCAAAATATTTTATTGTTTGCATACTAAAAAGTCAAAGGCAGTAACTAAAGTTGCTTGGCCCTAACATCTCCAAAATATTCAGCAACCTTTATGTGAAAGAAGACTTCACTACTTTTCTACCTAAAGAAACCTCTGGGTTAGAAAAAGCCACCAGCACAAGTCATGCCATTTTTCCTTATCACTAGTATTCTAAGAGAGGTTCAGAATCCAATGGATCATTACAAATGGCCTTTCATTAGAGAGGAAGTTGGGACTAACTAAAAAGATCTAAAGAGATACCTGATTGCTTAGGAGAACCTTTGCAGGAAAGAGCCTAAAAGAAATTGGAAGGAAGTAGATGAAGGAATCCAAAGAGAGAGGGAAAAAAAAAAATCAAACCTATCCACCCCGATTCCAGCACAAAAAATGAACTACAGAAAGGTCAAATTAGAACCCACAAAACTCTAAACAAAGTAGGAAGTCATAAATGATTTATTCTAGAATTCAATCTTAAAGAAATTCTGAAGTCCACATAATATGCTTTAAAATACAGAATTAACTGTTTTGCTTTAAGTGAAATTTTTTAATTAACTTTATTAAAAGTCAAAATATTTTCCCTATGAGGAAAGAAGCAATCAATGCAAACTTAGAAAGAAATTTTACTCTATTTGTAAACTTATCAAATTTTGTTCACCAGTTCTTCAAAATCAGCTTCAAAAGCTATCTACAACCTAAAACAAATAAATCCACACCATCTAAATTCTAGAAATTTAAAGCCCCCTCTTTTCACTTATCTGTATGGATTCTGGACTGAAAGGGACCTAAAGGGACCTGGAGGTCACTGTAGCCTCAACCCTTGGTTTCATACATGAGAAAAGTAAGTTTTCTGAGCAGGACAGGCAAGTGCTTTGGCTCTAAACCCAGAACTCCTTCCACTGCACTGTGCTGTCTCTTTAACTGCCTTTACATCACACAATTAACAAAGAAAGAAGCCCTGGCCTTGAACTCCAATGCAGGGAATGCTCCAGGCCAGGATTCATGTCTCAAAACTACTTCCTGAGGCCCTCCTGGGGTTGGGTGGGTCTGTCTACATGTGTTCATGGATCAGAATGCAGTGCATAAGATTGCTAATTACGGGAGCCAGAGGGCCTAAGTTTGAATCTTGGCTCTTTTATTACTACTTCTGTGCTGGAAAAAAATCACTTCAGTTTTCCAGGCCTCAATTTCCTCACCTATAAAACGAGAGGGCTAGACTAGCTAGACTTCTGAAGTCGCCCCCAACCCTGACTCTGTGGTTCACATGATTCACTGTCCCAGGGCGACGCTACGGTATTTTCACAACTCTTACTTTGCTGGCAAAAGTATTTTTGGAAAACAATCTAACTGCATATAAGGATTATGTAAGGTGTTTCATACAGTGTATATGTACACATGTAGTAGTAAATACTAATGGTCATACTTCTTGTCTATGTCTATGCTACTGGATTCTAGGGATCTGCAAACTAGTCTCTTTGAGAAGAGAAACAAAAATATTACGCTAACTCTTAAAAAGAAGATAAAAATATTAAGGATGCTGGCAACTAATGCCTCAAGTTGTTTTAAAAAAAAAACTTACTAGATAAATCATACAAAATAAGAGAAAAAACCATAGCTTGCATTTCAGAGCAGAGAATATTAAACAACAAGGATCTGCGTCTTTTCAAGCATCTTGTCAGAAAGAGCACACTAATGAAATTGGTCATCAAATCAACCAAGGGGGAGAAGCTTATATACTAGTTTGTTTTTGTTTTTTGAACATGAACAAACATGTGGAACGAAATGTCATAAGGTGCAGAAACAAAACTGGATCTTTCACTTCAAGTGAATCTAGTGCTTTCCTGCTGCTCGCTATTTGTCTAGTAAAGGCTTCTGTCCAGCAGTGCTACTGAAAGCCTTTAGGACTGAACATTTTCTTGGATATGAAACTAATTCCAAGAAGAGACTTAACTCAGAAATTGTTAAAGGTAAGAACCTCTAGCCCCTTTCAGAGAGCTCTAACCACACAGCAGCCGACGAAGTACAGGAAACTAGACTCTGGCTGTCACGGAGACAAGTCCCCGTCAAGAGGGGCTAGAAAAAGCAGCACCAACCTCCGTTATGATGGCTTTCTGTTCTTTCACCCTCTTTAGCTCCTCTGGGCAATGTTCTAAGCTGAAGACCCTGGAAAGCGGCAAGGGCTGTCCGTTCCGGCACAAGACTGCTTGGCACGTGCCCACATTGGCCACTGTCAGGGTGAAGCTACTTGTAGGATCAGCAGTATCGTGTCGGACATAACAGAGGAGGGCAGAGGAACCTAGCTTCTGGCCAGCCATCCCCAATTTTCTGTTTCGGGAAAGAAATAAAATAAAACAGAGTATTTTTAAATTAGCCTTGCAAATTATTTCCTGTCACCGCTTCAAGTCTCAAAATATCCACCAATAGGAAGACAAGTAATCTCCTTGCTCCCCTATTTCATGATCCAGACTTGGTCCTTACCCTTGAAAGGCACTGGCTAAAGGCGGTAATGGGGAGTAGCCAGTAAGAACCAGCTCTATCTCCTCCTCCCTTACAAGATTATTGTGAGGAATGACCTTGGGAAACTTTAAAGTGTTACAGAGATATTGGCCATTATTATTATTATCATCATCATCATCATCATCATCAAGTCCTCTAAGTTGAATACCTAAGAACAAGAATGGGGAAGAGGGATATCTCTTCTTTGGTGGGGATGCTCTGACTCAAAGTCAGTTAAGAAGCATTTATTAAGCACCTATTATGTACCCGGCACTGGTGCTAAGCTCTGAGGCAGCAAAAGAAGGTCCCTGCCCTTGAACAGCTTGCAATCTAATGGGGGAGACAACTTGCAGATAATTATGTACAAACAAGCTATATGTAAGGATAAATAGGAGAGAATAAACATAGGGAAGGTACTGCCATTAAAGACAATCTGGAAAGGCTTATTACAGAAGGTGAGATTTTACTTGGGTCATGAAAGAAGCCAGAGGGTCAGTGTCACTGGATCAAAGACTATATGAAGGCAGGGTAGGGATGGGAGAAGTCTAAGAAGACTGGAAGGGTGTGGGGAGTGCATTTTTTATTGAAAAATTTTATTTTGACACAGTTATCAAATCTAAATAAGCCACCAATAAAATACTGTTCTTGAAAAGAATTACAGAAAAAAGTATAACAAAGATGACAATACATATCCCCAACATCCTTGAAGGTCCTACAGGACTTAAATACTTCAACTAGATACAGCCACTGTGCTACAGAAACCTCTAATCATAGATTTCACACAACTAGAAGACTGGACGGTCTAGTCACACACCCTAATTTTCCACCTGAGATGGGCCTTTATAAATAGTCACTCAGCTAGGGAATTGAAAGATCAGGGCCAGAACTCAAAGTCTTCTGACACCTGGTACAGCACTCTGCTACAATGCCTTGCCTTCTTCCTGGGGATCCTCGATGGAAAAATACAAAAGGAACCAATACACTGACAAATCAAGAAGACACCACAGGCAATTAGTACATGGTCAGCTTACACATCTGACAACTCATTCACATACACGACAAATCAAAGTTCCCATGGGCTATAACAGAGCAGTGAGGGAGAAGAAAATAGAGAGATTTAGCTAATACTGATTCTCCCCTCAGTTTAGTCAGTCTCCAGACCCTGAGAGACCTGTTTCTCGAAGATCTGACTAAGAAGTTGAGTTTGTAATTTGCTTACCTGTGAGATACCAAAAATGTGTTAGCCATGAAAACTGTATCAACTGCTGACTGCTGCACCTCTTCCAGAAGCACGTCGGCCATGGTACATTGTAAGAGGCGGGGGAGCTCTTCATTCCGGTCTCCATCAAACATGCCATAGACAGCTTCCACACCTTCAGCAAAATTTTCCACGGCCAAAGCAGACACACAGAGTCTACAACAGTGGGAGACAGAGAAGGCAGATAACCAACCATTGGTACGATTTTCTGAGTGTCCAATCTTTAAAATTTCAAGTCAACGGTCATTTTGGGAGGGAGAAAGGGTAAGTGCTCAGGGAGATAAAAGGCAGAAGGATGATAAATCTATAAATAAAATTGTCTCTAGAAGGACACTGATGCTGAGTTTGAAAAATAACCACAGCATAAGGAAAAAGGGAATTAATTTCATTAATTTAATGGGTAATTGCAGGCTCTGTTAAAAAATGATGCTTATGATTGCATATATCAATTGTTTACTGTCTCAGGCAGACTGGAGTGGAGGAAGGATGGAATAGAATTTGGAACTAAAAACTTTTAAAAAAATGTTAAAAATTGTTTTTATATGTAATGGCGGGAAAAATATTATTTAAGAAAATAAAATAAAAATGATGTTTAAATGGCACAGAAAAGCTGTTCTTTCTGGGTAACCACCAAAGAAGGCTCTGGTTCAAGCTGAAATACTCACTTATTCCTCTGGCCAGCCATCTCAGCAAGCCCATGACTCCAGAAAGTCGATGCACCTGCAGAATCAGCTGTTAGCAGGGGTTTCTGATCAATTTTCAGGGTGGTGATATGACTGCAAAAGAGGTCAAACTACTGTGAGGCTCTAATGCTATTTTGCATTTTCTTGGCCTTTATTTCTTTAAATTTAATATGAACAAAGGCATAGGAAAAGTCATTCAATCGCAGGTTCCTATTTTTGGGAATCAGCTCTCACATGGGGCTAATACCCTTATATTTGGATTTGTTTTCCATAGGTTATACCACTGTTTCTAGAGGAAAAGTGAACTTCAATTGTTAGGTGCTCTTGAAAAGGTACTAGCCAACTTCATTATTGTTACATTAAAGGCGTCCTGCCTCTACCCTGACTAGGTGACCTTGAGCAAGCCACAACTTCTAGGAATCTGTTTCCTCCACTGCAAAACAGGATAAACACAACTAGGATACCTATTTCACAGTATTATTATAAAGCTCAAACAAGTGCACTGCAAACCTGAATGCTCTGTAAAAATGTCTGTTGTAATTATCATCAAGTACAACTCACCAAGTACTTACCCAACACTTACTATGTGTCAGCCACAGCGCTAAATGGTGGAGAAAATAGAATGAGAACATTGGTAAAGCATTTATACAGTTCCTGGCACCAAGCAGGTGCTTAATAAACACTTATTCCCTTCTCTTCCACCTGTGAGGGTTACAAAGAAAGACAAAAACGGTCCTTGCCCTCAAGGAGCTCACAATCTAATGAGGAAGACAATACACTAATAATAACTATGCACAAATTCCAGTCATTTCAGCTGTGTCAGACTCTTTGTGACCCCACTGGGGTTTTCTTGGCAAAGATACTGGAGTGGTTTGCCATTTCCTTCTCCAGCTCATCTTACAGATGATGAAAACTGAGACAAGGAGGGTAAAGTGACTTGCCCAGGGTCACACTGCTATTAAGTGTCTGAGGCCAAATTTGAATGCAGAAAGATGAGGTTTCCTGACTCCAGGCCTGACACTCTATCCATTGCGCCACCTGGCTGCCATGTATAAATAAGAAAGAATAAATGGAGAGAGAATTCTCAGACAGAAGGCAGTAGCATTAAGGGAGATCAGGAAAGGCTTCCTGCAGAAGGTGGGATTTTGACAGTTACCTGAAGGAAATCAGGCAAGCCAGCAGGCACAGATGAGGAGAGAGCAATCCAGGCATGGGAGACAGCCAGTGAACATGGGGAGTTAGGACACGGAATGTCTTATGTGAGGAACACAAAGGAAGCCAGCGTCAATGATACAGAGTATGTACGTGGAAAGAAACATTAGGAAAATGGAAAGGTTAGGAAGGGCCTGAAAAGTCAAAGAGAGGATTTCATATTCGGTATTGTACTTTAGGAAGACCACTCGGATAGCTGAGTGGAGGATGGAATGGAGACTGGAGGCAGGCAGATCCACCAAAAGGCACCTGCAATTGTCTAGGTGTGAGGTGATGAGGGCCTACACGGGGGGGGGGGGGGGGGGGGGGGGGGGGGGGGGGGTGGCAGTGTCAAAGAGAAAGTACAATTACGCTCATCATAGCTGCTGCCAATCTGCTGGACCCAAAGCTCTGTTAACAGATGCAGGCATGCCTTGCTGACATACCTTAAATTGGAAGTTTATTAAAAATGATTTAATGGATTTGAAACAAGATAACAGGCAGATTTTGCTTCACCAAACTCCTACAACAAAGAGGTTTCTAAGCTTTAGCTATCAGTATACTTATTTCAAACAATGTTCAGCATAACAAAATTCTGATACAGTGACAATTTAAACTGGTCTTTAGAGTTTGTTGTGTTGGGATTTGAACAGCATGAAATCCCCAAATAAGTATCTCTCCAGCATAACCCCTATCTGAAGCAGAAAACCCACACCACCACACCTGTCATGTCATCCATCCTCCTTCTGGAGACCTCTAGGGATTGGAAACCCATTCTTTCCTGAGGCAGCCTGTCCTACTTTTGGGTAGCTCTAATTATTAGGAAGTTTCTCCCGACATTGGGCCTAAATTTGCCATTGCAATGTCCACCTGCTACCCCTTCTTCTTCCCTCTGAGGCTAGCAAAACAAGTATGATTCCTTTTCCACATCACAGTCCTCTAAACACTCCAAATACTCGAAGACAGAAATTATCTTTCCCTTAAGTCTTCTCCAGGTTAAAAGTATCCTTCATTTCTTCAATTGATTCTCATGGTATGAACTGTGTGTGTCATTCACCTTTTCCAGTTGCTATTTTGTTGATTTGATTTTCTGCCATCTTCTTTTTAATCACATTGACTAAAGGTTCAACAACTTTTCTAGTCTTTTCAAAGAATTAGCTTTTATTTTATTCATCATTCAGTATTTTTTTCTTCTAATTTATCTGTCTTCTCTAATTTTTAGTGTTTTATCTTTTGTGCTTATTTAGGTTTGTTTGCTTTCTAATTTTAAAAATGCATATTTGGTTTGTAATTCTCTTTTTCTATTTTGTCAATGTACATTTATAGGGATATGGTCTTCCCTCTTAGCTGAATCCCAGATATTTTGATGACATTGTTATCATTTTCTTTCACAGTTTAGGTACAGCGGTGGGGAACCTGAGGCCTCGAGGCCACATGTGCTCCTCTAGGTCCTCAAGTGCCGCCCTTTGAATCCAAACTTCACAGAACAAATCCCCTTAATAAAAAAATTTGTTCTGCAAAACTTGGACTGGACTCTGTCAAAAGGCCGCACCTGGAGACCTATGAGGCCACAGGTTCCCCACCCTTGAATTTTAGGATTTAATTGTTAAGTTTCCATTTGGGCCAGTCTTTCCTTTGTGCTCCCTGAACTGATTATTATTTTTATTGGGTTATGGTCTATAAAGGATGTGTTTGCTGTTTCTGAGTTTTTACATTTGTTTGCATTATCTCTGTGACCTAATATGTGGTGAATTTTTGTAAAAATTCCGTGTGGTTCTGAGAAATACACATATTATTTACCATTTCCATTTAGAAGACAATACAATTTCATGCTCTAGTTTCTCTAGCAATTTGTTCAATTCTATATTTTCTTTTTTATTTTACCTTTCCAATAGGCTAATCTAAAACTGAAAGAGGGACACTGAACTCTACCACTATTATATTACTGGCTATACCTTATAGTTTTACTTTAGGAACTCAAAAGCTAAGGCAACTGAAACATAAGTTTAATACTTCCCAGGCTTCCTTTAAGTTATAATTAACATCTTACTTCTACAGGACCTTTCCCAACCCCTCTTAATTCTAGTGCCTTCCCTGTTAGTTTTTCCTATTTACCCTGCGTATAGCTTGTTTGTGTGTGTGTGTATACACATATATATATATGTGTGTATACACACACACACACACACATATTTGTTTATATATCTTAGATTACAAGCCCTTATCAGAAATTTGATAAAGATTTTTTTCCCCATTTGACCCTTTCCCTTCTTATTGTGGATGCATTAATATTGTTTGTGAAAAAGTTTTCAGTTTCGAGTTCCCTCTTCTGCTGTAAATACAGTATTATGTTCCTTTAGTTACTTTAATCTCTTTTTAAGATTGGCTTTCGCTCCCCTCACTCCTGAGACCTTCTTCTTGTTTGATGTGTCCCCTTACTTTCTTCCCCTTCAGCTAGTCCTGTGCCTTAGTTTTTAACTTTCTTTTTGCACCCCTTTCCAAAAGGATTTCTTTCACTCTCTTCATTATCCATCTTCTCTTTCTGTTTACTCTAGACTCTCTTCTCTAGTTCATGATTTCTACTGGAATCCCTTTTTTTAAATTAATTTATTTTGATTTTAAATATTTCTCCCCCTCCTTCCCTAAGATGGCACACAATCTGATATAGGCTCTACATAGACATGCCTATTAAACATATTTTCACATTAGTCATGTTGTAAGGAAGAATTAGAACCAATAGGAGGAACCACAAGAAAGAGAACACAAAACAGAAAAAAAGTAGCAAATAGTATGCTTCAATCTGCATTCAAACTCCATAGTTCTTTCTTTGGATGTGGATAGCATTTTCTATTATGAGACTTTTGGAGACATCTTAGATCCTTGCATTGCTGAAAAGGGCTACGTCTATCAACGTTAGTCACTGCATAATGTGGCTGTTACTGTGTACAATGTTCTCCTGGCTTCACTCAGCATCAGTCCATACAAGCTTTCCAGGTTTTTCTGAAGTCTGCCTGCTCATCACTTCTTATAGAACAATAGGATTCCATTACATTCATATACCACAACTTGTTCAGCCATTCCCCAGCTGATGGGTATCACCTCAATTTCCAATTCTTGGCCACCACAAAAAGAGCTGCTATAAATATTTCTTTACATGTAGGTCCTTTTCCCATTTGTATGATCTCTTTGGGATCTAGCCCTAGAAGAGCTATTGCTGGGTCAAAGGGTATGCACATTTTTATAGCCCTTTGGGCATAGCTCCAAATTGCTCTCCAAAATGGCTGGATCATTTCACAACTCCACCAACAATAATACATTAGTGTTCCAAATTTTCCTACATCTTCTCCAATATTTACCATTTTCTTGTTTTGTCCTGCTGCCCAATCTGACGTGGTACCTCACAGTTGTTTTGATTCACATTTCTCTATAGAATCAATAGTGATTTAGAGCACTTTTTCATATGACTATAGATGGCTTTAATTTCATCTGAAAACTGCCTACTCATATCCTTTGACCATTTACCAATTGGGGAATGACTTGTATTCTTATAAATTTGACTTAATTCTCTACATATTTTAGAAACGAGGCCCTTATCAGAGACACTGGTGGTAAAGATATGCCCCTTTTCTCTATTTTTCATGCTATCAAAATTTTCAACGTACCCATTCTAAGGACTCTCCTGTAGGCACTTTCTGCTACTGCTTTGTAGGGCTCGCCCTATGAATTTCCCCTTTGCATTGTGCCTCATCTTTAGAGTAATGTTAATTATGACTAACAACAACAAGAACAACTAACATTTATATAACACTTACGATGTGCCAGGCACTGTACTAAGTGCTTTACAATTATTATCTTAGCTAATCCTCACAACAACCCAGGGTGATGGTATTATTATTATTCTC